GGTTCTTCCCCCCCCCCCCCCCCCCCCCCCCCGTGTGAGAGTACACGCCCCCACCTTCTGGAACAGGGTGTTGATGCGAGGAATACCCCTGTCCCACGAATCCTCGAGGTCCTCCAGGGTAAGCCGGCGGTTCTGCGCCACCGCCTCCTGCTTCTTCAGCGCGTACTCCGCCCACACGCGCTGGCTGTCCACGAACTCGCTCTCCCACGGCTACGATTCGATTCGATATTCGAGTCGGCGCGATATTCGATATTCGGTTCGGTAAAGCAAACAGATGTGAGGCCGTCAACACAGACGTAACGAGGGATCGGCGGCGGCGGGGGGGGGACGGGATGGAATCAACGTCCATATGTAACACATCAAGGTGAGATTGATTTGTGGGAAAATGAACGAGCCCGCTCTTGTGGATGATAGCCTGAATCGCAGAACAGGCCATGAAAGGGGCATCCATTGTTGTGCTCCCAAGACGCCTACAATTTGAAGAGAATCATCTGCAAGCACCGACGACGCCCAATGGCACCGACCATGTTCAGCTTACAAAGAAGCGACTGAACATAGCCCTAATACCTACAACGACCCTCACACCACCACCATCAAAGAACATCAGCCTCAACAACAATAAACATCAGCAGCGCTAATACACCCAACAAGCGCACCCAACAACAACAACAGCACAAACAACCACCAACAACAACAACACGAGCAGGCTTGACACACCCAACACACACCTGCAGATACCGGAAGAGGTTGGGGATGAGCTGCTCCTCCTCGTGGCTCATGCCAGACCGGAAGTGCGTCACGCCGACGTCGGTCTGCTTCGAGTAACGGAGGTCGCTCTGCGGGATGAGGACGTGCCCCATGCTCAGCATGCCCAGCCCTCCCAGCTCCTGAGCGAGACAAAGACAGAAAAAAAAAAAAAAAGCGTCGGGGGTTGGGTTGGCCGGCGATCGATGGACTAGTTTTCTCCATCTATCGTGGAGTGCGCAGATACTGATGAGTGCGCAGATACACAATCCTCGAGGAGAACCAAGGGAGCCTGGGAAAAACCTGTGATCTTCTATCGGTAAGTACACAGATACTCATGAGTGAACACAATTGTTGACGAGAACGGGGAAGCATAATGTATACACCCTTTTGATGTTGGCCGCCAAATGGTCGACAGACTACTTCTTGGGAAAACAGGATACAGGGTGTACCTTGATTCTTGGTTGGTTGATATACATCGCGGACCGTTACAACTCGGGATCGAGACAAGGTACCATAGGTACTTGGGGTAGGCACCTTGGGAGTGTAGAACACCACGGGGGGGAACCTCGAGGGCATCTTGGAGTTGAGCCCGATCTTGATCCGCGTCTGGATCTTGTTTTCGCACTTCACCAGCAGGTCCAGCATTTCCTGTTGCCGAAAAACAACAAAACCAAGCACGATTAGAAAGAGGGAAGCCACCCGTCGACAGGATGAATGGCAACAACATACAACACTGCTAACTGCCAGCATTCCCTGTTCCCGAAAACAGAAGAAAAACAAAACACAACACAACACAACACAAAGGCATTATCGGAGGAGGGAGGCAACCTCCCGATCAACAGGGACCATAATATTCATGTAAAAACTGCCAGTAGTTCTTGTTACCAAGGAGAAAAAACTGAAAAATAGCAAACTCGCAACGAAGATCGATTATAAGGAGAGAGGGGGGCAACTCGTCGACACGATGATTACATACCAATCGTTTTTTCGTCCCTTGTGTTGACTTCTCAGGGCGTTAGCCTACACCTTCCAGATGCACCGACCGGGGATACGCAGGAGGGAGGAAGATTGTTTCAAAAACACTTTTGTATTTTTCCTTTTTTTTTCTCTCCACCCTTGTGCCCTTGTGACCCACGGAAGGCGTCTGCCTCAGCTGGGCCGGTACGGATACTGAGCAGAGATCGGAGCGTTATTTAACGTCCAAGACAACAACAACTCCTTCCTGCTTGCGAAAATAGATTACGCAGCACTGCACAACTGCACAACGACATACCACCACCACCACCACCAACCAACCAAATCCGAACCTGCCCCGAAATCAAGAAACCATACTACGAAAAAAAACAACCACGCCCTTGCCCATGCCGACCACAACCACCAACACCAACACCAACAACAACAACAACCAATGAGCATCGAACCTGGGTGCTGATGACAGCCTCTCGGAAGTAGGTCATGAGGCCGATGAGGGCGGTGTTCCACTTGTTGGCGATCTTGGTGAAGGTCGTGCTTCCCGAGGACATGAGGACCTGCCTGATGCGGTTCTCGAACGTCCGGATCGACGTGTCGTCCACCCGGAGGAACGCCTGCACAACAGAGCACAACAACACGATGGCAATTGGGGGGATTGATCATTGAGGGAACTGGCTGATAAAACAAGCAATAATTATACTTCAAGTGGTGATTTGGTACACGCGTTATGGCAAGTTGACGCAGGACAAACAAAACAAAACCATGTCCAAGAGCCACCCCAAAAAAACAGCAACACCAACTATTTATGTGCCAAAAAAACAGGATTTTCGTGGGTGTAGCGAAGGCAAGGCAAGGCACGATAAGCTAAGGCCAGGCAAGGTAAGCGAAGGCCCGGCATAAGACGAGATCGATCACCTAAACAGTCATTTACAAGGCAAGATACGACAAGGCAAGATAAGCTAAGGTCCGACATAAGACGAGATCGATCGCCTAAACACTCATGTACAAGGCAAGATACGACAAGGCAAGATAAGCTAAGGCCCGCTCATAAGACGAGATCGATCACCTAAACAATCACCTACAAGGTAAGATAAGATGAGGCAAGATAAGCCAAGACAGGGCCTGGCCTACGGCATCATGACCCATCGTCTCAGCATCGTCTGAGCCGCCATCTCCAAGGCAAGCCAAGGCAAGCTAAGGCCAGGACAACTAAGACGACACCGCCTGCTGCCGTGCATTACTTACCTGAGCCGTCATCTCCTTGGTGGAGTCGTTCTGCAGCTTCCACACCCCGTCCGCGTGTACCGCCGCCTCTCCCAGCATACGAATCCTCGGCTTGATGCGCACCTATGCAATGCAATGCACGGAGGTGTGAACATGCAATATTTCGCGGAAACAGAAAAGCAAAACACATTTAAGAAAAACAACGCGCAGTTAACACCTATGGACGTGTGCATGACATAGTTCGCGGAAACAAAAACACAGAAGAAAAACAAACAGCAACTGTGGCAACCAACGACCAAAAACAGAAAAAAGTATTCATTCATTTGTGCACCGGGGATTCAGACAAGCATGGCTATGCAACTATGGCCCTGAATGACGGATTCTTAGATTGGAGGTGCCACAGCCACGATTCCTGCGGTACGCGGCCACAATCTGTAATGTATAATACGGGCCATCAGTGACTCTTGAACGCTTCAAGGCTGGCGCGAACAAAGAGAGCAGGGGGCACGTACATTGCCACGTCACATCAACGCTGTCACGCACCCAACTAGCGTAACCGGTGCTGGAGAGAGTAAAAGAGAGAAACTTATTGTACTATAAAATGCCTCAAAACTACTGACATGACACACCTCAAAGTAGTAGAGGGCAAGCGAAGTGGTACATTTGCGCCAGGGGATGGACGGAAAACAAGACAAAAATTCGCCACACGGCGGTGTACATACATCTGCCACCAGGCAGCGCCCGACTGCATACACAAACCTCGAAGCCGCTCATGTTGTAGATAACCAGCACACGTAGGGTTGCGCTATAGAGGATGGACGCAGAACAAGACAAAACTGCTACACAGCCGTGTACATGCCCGACACAAAACTACCACACTGCAGTCTACATGCCCAACAACGAGACACACACACATGTCTTTTCATTGGTCAGCCGATTAACGCCGTCGATGCTAAACACACACACATATACACACACCTCGAAGCCGCTCATGTTGTAGAGCAGGTTGGGGTTGTCCCTCGAGTACACGCTCACGAAGGAGTCGTCCCATTCCACGGTGGTCACGGAACGCGGAAGGCGGTTCTTGATGTCCCAGAACGTCGCTCGACCGAGGTTGACGTCGTGCTGCAAAAGACAAGCGGGAGGAAATGTCCTTATTATTGTGATGGTGGTCGTTGTGGTTTTGTTTGTTGTCTTCACATTAAAAGCCGTTCAGATCTCTTGTTTTCTCCACAAATAAAAGCACGGAAAATAAAACGTCGTGCCGATAAAGACAAGCGAGAAAGTGTTGTAATTGTTGCTGTCGTGATGGGTTGATTGTTGTTTTCTCCACAGATAAAATCACGGAATTGAAGGATCATGGGATCATGATCCGAACAAAGACGCACGAAAAGGGGGGTGGAGTGTGAAGTCGGACAGACAACAGACGACAGGTTAACAGCCACCCCATTGCATGCACTCGACAACACACCAGACGCATCAAAACAGGAGCCCTTGCGGTCGATGCAGAGTAACGGGACAAAACACACTCACAAACCACACAAGATCGTTTCTTGCGCTCCCACATAGCCCACTTCTTAGCCAAAAGTTAGCGCTGCTGTTGATGCTACAATAGACAAAAAACGAGAGAACAAAAACACGCGCGCCCAGGCCCACCCGCACGCATGCATCCATGCATGCATACCTTCATGAGGCGCATCCGCTGGTCGCGGGGCCAGCACTTGCGGTTGTTGTACCCGACGACGTTCTCGTTGTTCGGGTCCGGGTGCTCCGTGAGGTACCTCTGGATGAGGTCCCTCGCCTCCTCGGCGTCGAAGCGGAAGAGCATGTAGATCTTGTCCACGTACCGCGTGTACAGTCGGATCGGGTGCCGCATCTCCGTCGGTGTGTCTCGGAACGACAGGTACTGTTGTTTTTTTTGCAAGGGGGGGGGGGGGGGGGGGGGGAAAAAGGCAAATTTGGGGGCCCCTCTCCCTCCGGGGGTCCCCAAAAAAAAGGGACCTTATTTTTTTTTTTTTTTTCCCAGGGGGGGGAAAAAGCCAATGGAGGGTCCGTGTTTTTTTTTTTTTTTTCCAAAAAAACCCCAAAAAACCCGTTTTTTCAAAACTTTTCACATTTTTTCCCCGTT